ATATGCATAATTTTGATTGCTTATAAGGTTTAATGGAGTCATTACATGCCAATATAAACTGACTGAAGGTATGTTCATGGAGTCATCCTATGCCAATGCCAATAGGAGAAGATGAGGATGAGGTAGAGAGTAGGGGAGGCTATGGAAAATGGGCTTTTTGTATGTCAAATGTAATTATATGTCAATGAGTTAGCTGAGCTTTAGAAGGTTTCTGTTCATTTAGAGCTTTACATTTTTTGTGAAACAAATAATGATGTAATTCTAACTTGTGAACCAAAATTTGCTCTCTCAACTGGAGGTTGTACTGATCAACTTATGGAATACTTCATCAAACGAGACAATTTTATAACATTTCTTATCTGCCTTTGTGATTAAGATATCTTCGCAGATAAGAGGCATGGAGGGAGTCATTTGTGAAGTATTTGAAAATAGTATCGTGTTATACCTTGGCTTTAACAAATGTGCATGCATTTGACTGATAAGTGCAAGGGAGCTAATGACCCTCAATGACTGTTTGTTTGGCAGAGCTTATCCTTCAACTTGTTTATAAGCACTTTTTTCTCTCACAAGTCTAAAGAAGTATTGGAGGGAAACTCTACTTTTTAGCATTTGAAATGCTTATAAGAAAGCTTGGAAGAAAGTGAGGTGCTAATAAAAAACCCAAAACAACTCTGCCAAAGAAATGCTGTGGAAAAAGGGAGGTCAAAGAAATGAAGATTCTGAAATGTTCTCTAGATATTTTATGAGAACTTATCCTTTTTTGAGTATAGAAATGCACGTAATTACCTTTTTCACTAATTAAAAGCATTTATATGCATTTTTTTTCTAGAGTAAGCTTTTCAGCATCTTCATCCCCTGTTTTTTTCTTTTTCCCTTTTTGGTGGCTTGTCATTTATGCAGCAATGGCTTCTGACTTTCTGCTTCACTCTTTTTTCTTTTTTTTTTTTTTTGGTTTTCTTTATTATAACAGGATCCTAAACGCAAAGTCCATAAACCTGTGAAGACTGGAAATTGAGAAGCACCAGACATCTAATGCGGACCTGGAAAATATTTCAGAAAGTGCCAGCATGACCAATGAATCTATGGACCTAGGGGATCAAGTTACTGATGCAATGTTCATTAAGAGCCCCAACAATGGTTCTGATGGGCCTCAGAGTAGCAATTCCAAGTGGATTCCTAATGATGAGCAAAATGCATCTGGAAATGGAAACACTCATGGAAATCCGGATCTCAATGTTGGTGATGTAAGCAGAATGCCTTTCTTGCGTTTGTATTTTCATTTTATATTTTTGTTGCATTTCAGTTGCTTATTTGCATGGCTGATAGGAAACAACCAGGGAATTTTTCTTGTGTTCTGTAAATATGGTTTGCCTATTTCTTTATTCAATTTTGAATGGATAAATGCCTCAATTGGCTTGGAGCAAATTTATCTATCTAGCATTGT